AAACTTACATTCCCATGTATCATCCAGAGACGACCACCCAAAGTCAGTGCAGTTTAAACAAACTTTAAACAGTAGTCTTTTACACTTACTCCCTGAGCTGAGCTCTTTAGCTCTCACATACAAGTGGTGATCAGGATATAAACAGCCACATGACCAGCTTCTTTAAAAAAAAAAGTGCCTATGATCTTGAGATGCATTTTTTTTTCTTGATGATTTGGAACAAAGACTAGAGTTTCCCTCCTTTCCATGAAAAACAAATCATCATCATAAGCCCTCCCACAATGGCACAAGTCAAAGGCATCAACTTTAACTCATCTCGACAGGTGGTATAACTTTGATATTGTTAAGTAGCATGGCTTTAAAAAGCTCAGCAAGAGACACAGGAATTAAATCTTAACTCTTAAAATGAAAAAGTAAATGTAAGTGTTTTCCATGGGACTTTGCTCTGTAAGAAATATATATGTATCATAAACAGGCAACTAGCAACAGTTGAATTCTGAAAAGCATAGTTAAGGTAGAAACATTCATCTTATGATTTTATCTTTCAGCTCAGATCCTTTAGTCAGATTAGCATTTTCAAAGCATTCCCAAAATTGTGCATATACAATAAAAGAAAGGAAGATTACCTTTTACATTTTTGGCTGGTATGGGCCCACTTGGAGAAGTTAGACCACAAAAGGACTAGACAGAGATTTGTTGACATATTCAGGCAAATACCATTCTCCTTTACTCTTTGTTTTAGTTCTCCCACTTGTACCCAGCAAGAGCACTTTCAAATAGGTTGGGCACCTATGTGAGTTGAAAAACTTCTCTCCCAGCACACAGTGTGGATTATTTGGTGGCAACCACTGAAATGGAAACTAAGAGGGCTGCATGGTGTGCTCTAGCCTCAGTTTTGCCATAAGATGGGAATGGGCAACAGGGGATGGATCACTTGAGGATTACTGGTTTCTGTTCATTGCCTCTGAAGCACCGGACATTGTCCACAGTCAGAAGACAGGATACTGGGCTAGATGGACCATTGGTCTGACTCAGTGTGGCCGTTCTTATGTTCTTATGCATAATTTGGTCCTATTGAAAAAACTCCTCCATCATCTCCTATATTTATGCTGCCTTTACTCAACAGCTTCCAAGTTCCTCCCATGTTTTTCTTAGTTGCCTTTTACTTTCAACTATTATTTGTAAATAAGGAAGCAAAGGTGTGTCCTGTTTACTACATTAGAGCAAGTGCCAGTGGATGACATTTGTAAAGATTTCTATTCTGGGGAGCTTGAAGTGGAAGGTATGAAGTCAGACTTTTGAGGATACTTCGCTTTGGTTGTTTAGTCATACACATCATGAGCGCTGGCTATCCATGCTCCTCAGACCTACAGCCCCCACATAGGAATGACTATGAAGCTCGGCAGTACCAACCAAAGGAACAAGTGATTCACTGAGCTGAGTCACTGGCACAAGATTCCTCCAATATCATCTACTGTGTGCTCTCTGTTCCCAACAGACAACTGTTCACTACCCTCATTCCCTCAGAACTATGGCCTGAAACAGTTCAATATTTGCCACAGTTGATATAGTCGAGCTAGCAAAAATCAGGGATCTTCTTTTGAGAGAGACAAAACCATAGAAATAAGAAACAAAAAAAGAGAGCTATTGTCACATCTGGCCAATTCCCCTGAAAATGAAGCATCATAGAATCATAGAATATCAGGGTTGGAAGGGACCTCAGGAGGTCATCTAGTCCAACCCCCTGCTCAAAAGCAGGATCCATACCCAATTAAATCATCCCAGCCAGGGCTTTGTCAAGCCTGACCTTAAAAACTTCTAAGGAAGGAGATTCCACCACCTCCCTCACATTACAAATATATGTTCTCATGTATTGTCCTGCAATTACATGAAAGCTACAGAGTTGTGGGTAGAGAAAGGTTCATGTGGGCTTTTTTTACTGTTGTGGCTTCACATGGATTCTCATTCTGAGTTCTGCTCTGAGTTTCAAGTTATAAGGAACACAGTAACAATGTGAAACTCACCTAAAATGCAATGTTCCACATGGGGTCAACAAGTAGTATAATATCTTGAAACTTAGTTCACTCAAAGGGCCACACTCTACACATCATCTTACATCAAAATGGTATGATTCCGCCCCCCGGCGCGCACACTCTCCTGAGTCACATAAAATAAAATGTATGGTACAATAACTAAGCAATATATCATCAAATTAATGTTATCCCACATCCCCTTGATATCCACCTCTTTCACAACCATCTAATTTATGCCTGCTATGCAGTACTGATATTGACAGTTGTAGGCTTTATATCATTACTTGAGGAGATATTGTATTATTGCTGAACTACTAAAATATATGGCCATGAGCTAGCATGGCACAGCATGCTGCAAATCACCTCTCAACTGCAGCTGAAACTTCCTAAACTCATAGTATATCCCATGGGAATACTTCTTAGAACATACAAGCCAGAGAATAATATTGGTCACTAATGTTCATTTTACAGAGTAGTGAACTTTGTTAAATGCGGAGGTGGGAAGAGACTTGAGAGGTCTGTTTGTTTTTAAAATAATCATATTTATGCAAACTATAATTTGGATAATCTATAAATACTCTCTGAACAGAAGAACCTGTAATCATCCCTCTCTCCTCATCTAATATCGCTACACATGAATGAGACTGGGGGTCTCTGATTTTACACAGTTGACATCATTTCATATATTAAAATGACTATTGCCCAAAATCTTTTTCCATTTGGGAAAATCCCAGGATAGACAAAGATTGTTCCCTAAATCCAATTAATATTTCAGTATGAGAATGCTAAAAAAAATCCCGCAATTTATAGATATGTTAACCAAAATTAAGAGAAATGCAGTTATTTACTTTCTATATTAGATTAACAGAACTATTTGAAGGGATGGATGAAAAAAAATCATAATATATACACACACTTACTGGAGCTCTGTTGTATTCCCTTATCCTTTATATCTGAAACTCTCTATTATAATACTTATAGAAAAAATAGCTGTGTTAACATTCTGTTTTATCTTTAATATAAAACAGTAATGAAAATTGATTATAGTCCCTGTTTCAAATCACTCCTAATAATATCTAGTACTGATCATCCATATATTTCAAAGTACTTTACAAAGGAGGTCAGTATCATCATCCTTATATTACAGATAAGGAGACTGATGCACAGAGGGAAAATGATTTGCTCCAGGTCTCTGGCAGAGCCAAGAACAGACACCGGGATTCCTGTGCCCCAGTCCACTAGACCACACTGCTTCCTTAATGTTTGGGCTAAAGGGAGGGCTTTCAACTATGGTACAATTGGTACCTGTTGGTTTGCTTTTATAAGGGACGTGAAATTTTACTTTTTTTTTTTCAACACTGGGCGATTGACATAACCACGACATTTCAATTGTCTTTTTATATAGAGGTCCTCGTTTGTCAAGTTTGATCCACCATGAAATCCTCCTTTTAAACTCAGAGAAGTACCACCTTCTCCTCCATTCCATGTATCAGCAATCATATTATCAAACACACTTGCTCAATAGGGAGAGCACTGAATTATTGGTGGCAAGGAAATGCAAGAAGAAGAAGAACAACAACAACATATGAGCATATTTACATTTTACCGTTTGTGCTTTACATATATAAGAATTAAGAAAAATATATTAAGCGAAAGTCATAGAAAGAGCATTCAAGCCGAGCAATGCGAAGTAAAGATCAGCCATTGTAAATATTTCACTAAAATTAAATATGAAAAAAGTCAATTTTAGAGTCAAACATTATAGTAACGCATGGATGGATAGACTCTCTAGTGGGTCTCCTGGTCTATCACCATACAACATAACTGGGCAAGACTGATTTCATTATCCATGAACCACCCTTGCTTAGTAAGTGTATTGTGCTGCTTTCCACCTCCAGTTTTTAGGACCCCACAACCTCTCTGGGCAGCTTGTTCTACTGCTCAACTATTCTTAGTTTTTCCTCAATGCTTACCCTAATATTTTCCTTCTGTTGAACAAAACCAAAGCCAAGAGAGCCTATTTTAGGTTCTATCCCATATGTATTTGTTAATTCAGTTAATGAGATTCTACAATATAATTTTCTATCGGGGGGGGGTGAGTATTGAATTTACAGCCCATTATGTCACCATAAATCATGGAATTAAACTGATTATTGCACATTACTCAAAAAGATGAAGAAAATAACATTTTGTTCACTGTGTCAAAAAACATAGATTAGGGTTTAGATGGTCCAACCTGAAAATTGTTTAGTGCAAACATCAGTAGAATTAATAATTCAGGGTAAAAAAAAAATATCCTTATCAATGTCTGCCTATTTCCTGTGTTCACCAAAATGTTTTTTCACTCAATTCCGGCAAAGAGTCCAAATGTAGGATCCAGGTCCAATATTGTTAATTCTCCAACCGGTTTTGGTAGGCCTATTCAATAAAACTATCAGTGACACCTCTCTGAAAAGTTACTAAGGGCATACTTCTTAAACCCGCTTGTCTTTCAAAGAGAACATATATACCCACTTTACGCTTGTCTTCTCAACTCCCTCATGTAGACAGACTTGAAGAAATGTTCCAATTATTTGTCAGCTTACTCAATATAATGATCCTTCTGTGTCATGGTAACAGTCCTGTATTTATTGGACAAGCTGCCACTATGCCTGCAGGGGAAATGCCCTTTGACCTTTGGGGATAGAGGGCAGATCTGTGGGTCTCAGGCTGAGTGTAGGAATTTGAAACCCGCTTCTGCAGCTGGTTTACTACAGAACTGAATGCACTTGCAAAAATCTTCCCTTGAGCCGAGTGCTTTAGTTTTAGTTTAGGTTTTGCTCCTATCACTTCTTTTAAGTCAGTTTTAAAATTGTAGTTCATAAAAGCATCCTCCCCCCCCCGCTAGATTACACCACAGTCAATACTGAACTACAATCTCCTGTGTTAATGACAGCTCTAACAGAATCAGGTGAATCATTTTCTTACCTTGCACTCATTGTTTTATTCTCTGATTTGCTATCACTCCTGATCGAAATGCTATAAAGAGTAGGAAAAAGAATGAGCTGAGAATTAATAAAACCATCACAGCTTTGACTTCTTAGAAAAGGACAACGTTAAAGGTATTTTTCAACATTCTAAAAAATCATTTTTAGTCCATATTTCAATTAACCCCTTTTGAAAAACTTATCAGAATTATATGGAGTTGGCAAATGGATGGATGCAAGACAAGGAACAGGAGGTCAAATTTTGGGGCTCACAAATGTGATAATTGTTCCTTTAAATTAAGAGTACTGTAGTTTTGTAAGGATGGTTTAAGCCTACTGAAAATGCAGTCCAAGTCTACTGCTGATCCTTAAAGTAAACAACGTTTTCTACATTTTCTTGTTTATCCCAAATCACTTATACTCTGTCAAAGAAGCTTTCATACAATTGTGACCTCAGGGCTATAGTGTATGACTGACATTTTATCTATGCCCTGAATGGGGCAAGTTAACTATAAATGAAACATAATGGCTTCAAAGTACTGCAGAAAGTACAATGCTAGAATTGTTTAACCACTTATCTGTCAATGCTTTAACCTTTCATTAAGGCTACTGTAGATATGTGGGTGATCTACTAATACTTTATCTTTCTAACAGACATTTTCCTCTGTCAAATTGTCAAAAATATAATAATGATGCATATTTGGCAGCTTATTCATGGATGCTAAACTTAAGCTTGATAATAAAGGTCATGAACTACTTTTGCTGAGAGAAACTGAAACCCTGAAATTGAGCTCTTAAAATACTAGTTAAATTCAAAGTGAAAGAGATAAAGAGAAAATAAAGTGAGAGAGATAAAGGGGGCGGGGAGACATGTTTCATATCAGCTACATGTAATTGTAGTTGATGTTAATGGGCTTTAACGTTTTTCCAAAACTCTAAACAAAACTTTGTTTTCAGGAAGGGTGAGTGTATTCTTCTTTTATGAACCAGTTGAAGAATCCAATCAATGACATGGTATAGCCAGGCGTGTAAACACACATCTAATTGTGTTACCCTAATAAAACTAAAATAGAAATATATTGGATTTTTGAAAGAAATGCCAGTTTCTCTCTCTCTCTCGCTCACACATACACACACGAACTTTCAAAATATTGCACACTTTAATGTGAAAATGAATTTTCACAGGAACAAACATTTGAATGTCAAAGTATTGGCACAAAAATTACTAATTACTCTTCTGTTTTATATAATGCATGTTATAGGCATACATCTTGGAGGGTAGATTTTAAAGAAACTGTACATACATTTTCAGTAACTACTTTCATTAGCTATGAAAGTACAGACCCCCCCAAAAAGTTAGGAAATGTAAAATCTATAAAGAATATCAAGAAAAAATTAGACTAAAGTAAGGAACAACAGAGTAAAAAAGTGAAGAGACATAAGCATGAAAGAATATACATTTTATGAATACCACAACAGGAATGGAATTACACTCCCTCTTCCCCTCCGCTCTCTCAAACTGCTTCACTAAAATCTTATTTTCAAGCAAACCCTTATGATGTTTCATTCATGTTGTGTGTGAAATTAAAAGAAAATTCAAGAACTAAAAACACAGGTTTCTATTTCATTGTTCACATTTTACAGAGCCCTAGTAGTAAAAATAGCCAAATTATCATGACACTGAGGTCACAGCTCAAACCTGAAACGTCATTCCAAATCTAAAGGAAATTAACATTTGAATGATGTACTATCTTTAATTCCTATGAGCGCAGAAGTAGTTTAAGTCCTGCTAGTTAGACAAAATACCCATTTTGTATACATATGGTAATACCTTGTGACATCAAACTTTTTGCCAATCTAGGGAAATTATTTTTCAAACAACATATGCCATGACCCTCAATACCTAAGTAGTCTTGGAGTTCTTATCTTGCCATTCATATAACCATATGTTCAGAATGTTCCAAATTATAAATATAGCACCGATCAAACTAAAGCTTAATTACTGTATTCCTTATCTGGGTAAAAGCAAAAGTACTGGCTGCTATACCTCATTTTGCTTAATAAAGCAAAGAGCAACTAAAACTAACAATGATATGGTACCTGAGATACCCTGAGAGAGGTAATCTGAAAGTCTTTTGGAAGCCTCAAACTCCAAGTTTTCTGCAGCTTAGCACAAAACAGACGGGGCAGTCTCTGTTCCTGAGAAGAGAGGGGGTCTGGCATAGCCTGCCAGCTTCCAGCCATGTTATTGTAAAGAGACACCTACCATTTTGCACCCCCCGGACTAGAAGAAATTTGCTGGATATCATGTCTGATAGTCACAACAGGCATTTAAAATGTTGATCATTTTATCGTGGACGTTCATGTCGAGCTGACTACGCTCAGGTAATGACAAGAATGTGGAAACCCTCAAATAAATTCCATTGAAGTTTTGAAAATATCTCATATGCTTTACAGCAGTAAGGCAAAGATTTTCAAAGCAAACTAGTTATTTTTGTGGACTCAATCTGAGTCACCTTAAAGGTGGCTAATTTTCACAGTGTAGGTACTCGGCACTCTCTCAAAAAACATGCCTCCTTAAAAGATCACCTCATAATTCCGACACCCAAAATCACTACTCACTTACGAAGATCTTGGCCTGAATACACAGGCAAAGAAAGTCAACACTATTGTATTTTTAAAATTTGCTTTACTTGGTTATTGTGAAATAGTGTAAGTTGAACCCCTCTTTTCCTCCCATACAACATGACAACACAACGCAAGAGAAGAGCTAACTGTCGGTCTAAGCACAAAAGAAAATTAATGGCAACTTCCAGCTAATGTACTTTACGAAGTATGGCCAATAGCTTTTAACCATTTGTATAGACATAATTAAAACGTGATATCAATCTTTCTAGTTCTTCATACCCAATCTTACTTGTTAAAACATGATTTCAAAATGTAGTTATAGCTTGTTTAAGAGTCACATATGTATATGTAAAGCACACAAAAATGTTTTATTATTGATCATTAGCCCCAGATCTGCCTCATCTTTCTATATTGCCATAATTCATTATAAAGCTGTGATGTAGCTCCACTGCTAGAAGAGAACTTGGTTCATTCATTGTAACTGTTAGCACAGCAAGTGAAAACAAGGCCAACTTAGTTTGCCTGCACATAATGCAAACATGAGTGAAAAGCAAGTTGATTAAGATGCCTGGTTAAAAATATCTTCCTCAGGGCCTCTCTCCTTTACCTTTACATTAACTGAAATTAAAACTAATGAACTGTTCATTAAAATGAAGAAAAGAAAGTTAACCATGTTGACATAACATGTTACTTGATGGAGCCATCACTTTTACGGAAAGGAGTTTTTAAAAAGGAAGGCTTGTTTGAAACAAAACAAAAACACATCCCCTCACCTCCACCTCCAAAAACAAAAGGGGAAGAAGAAAAAAAAAAAAAAACTTTGGTGGTTTGCTCTTCCCCTATACAAAGCATTTACTTATTACGAGCTTTCTACAGTCTTTTTGTCTCCTATTTTAAATTGGAAACGCTTCGTGCTGACACTATGCGTAAAGACAGATGATGTAAATTATATCTGCCTCTTGTTTTACTCAAAAGCAAGGAGGAGATAAACAGTCACACAAAATTACAAAACTCCTGCAAGTTTACAAAAAACAGACCCCAAGTGATTTGCAACATTAATACTTTCCAGATTTAAAAAAATAATTAAATAAAACTACTTATTAAATTTGTCTCTCACGCACATACATGGAAAAATATATATTTCAGCCTTGCAAAATCAGGAAGAACATTTACCAGTTCACCCACAAAACTACATTAACATGATCACCAGCTCATACAGCCTCCCCACCTCTACCTCTCATATGACAGAGAAGTACATTTTTTCTCCTTACATGCACATGCTTGTCTATGGATAGAGTCACACAAACACCACTACACACCAACACACATGCATGCACAAAACCCTCAATACAACCTTTCCTTCCCTTTACACAACCTCTCACACATGCTCCCATTCATAAATCCCATACCTCAGCGCACATGCAAATACACTCTCTCGCTCACATATTCATATAAATCATTTTCATATAGATGAGGCAAACACACAACCCCACAATTAACCCTCAACTCAGTAACGAACACCAGCTAACTGCCATTCAACCCCACCCACTCAGTCTGTCTCAGTAAGGTACCATTCACCAGTTCTCTTTTCTTCTTCAAGCCACCAAATTCATCTATTCACTTCCCCACTGATGATTATAAAGACCTTCTGGCACTAGCATTGTTGGAGGTCCATTATAAATCATGGTGAGGTGTAGCGAGATGTTCACTACCCATTCTACTACTTTGTATGCAGCATTGTTGTAGACGGGTCAGAAACACAAGGTGAGTAAGGTATCTTTTATTGGATTAACTTCTGTTTCTGAGAGAGACAAGCTTTGAGCTTACACAGAGCTCTTCATCAGGTCTGGGAAAGGTACTCCTAGTGTCATAGCTAAATACAAGGTATTATTTAGCAGTAGTCCCTGCAGTCAACTACATACAAGAAATCCACGTCTCATCACACCTACCTTCACAGATCCATCAACCATCCCAAACACACCAAGTAATCTGTTATCTCTAGCCAGGCATTCAGATACCACAGAATATGCATCGAGGAGAAAGTCTGTATGCTAAACAATCTGTTCAACCTTGTATTTAGCTGTGACACTCTGAGAACATTTCCCAGACCTGAAGAAGAGCTCTGTGTTGGCTCGAAAGCTTGTCTCTCACCAACAGAACTTTGTCCAACAACAGATATTATCTTACCTACCTTGTCATTCTACCATTTTCTTTATTTTACATAAGTTACAGATTCACATTGCAAGCTCATAATTGCTACACCTGGAAACAAGAGTGACACTTATAAAGACGCCTCTGCCCTGGGCCAATATGCTTGAGTGCTCCACAATAATTTCTGAAGTATGAAAACACCAATACACATTTAAAGACACAAATAGATAGAGGAATCTACATATGAGGAAAAGGAAAAGGAAAAGGTGTGAC